AAGCAATAAAGAAACACGCTACAGGAAGGGGGCCAAAGATGGGGGCTCGCAAATCATGGCCCGCGGCATGTGCACGGACGAAGGGGGCCAGAGAACGCATCGAAACACGAAGAAGAGGCCATGACATCGTGGAGATATCATGACCCAGGCCATCCACACAACGCTAGACATCACCCCCCTCTTGGACGACCCCGACACACGTACGATCGTTACCGTTACCCATGAGGTGGGGTGCTGGGCCTGGCAACGCCTGTTATGCGCTACAGGGCAAAAACAATTCTCCTTGACCTCGGTCGCCAGGCAGACAGAGCGCGTCGTCACCGCAGTCCCCGTATGCAGCGCTGCAAAGAGGCAAGACTTGCACTTGCATCACTGGGTGCTGCATCCTTCTTGTTTGCCTGCGCTGTACTCAATGCGTTACTGAAGGATGAAACAACACATCAACCAACTCGCGGCTCCAAAATTATGGGGACACTCGGCCGACGCGTCTCCTGTCAGCCTTGACAGCAACCCCGTTGCTCATGGGGTGTCTTAATCCCGGCCATTCCTTTCACTCTTTGCTGTGCTCGTCTCCTCCCATTCGGCCGCGGCACGCGATTTCCACTCGCACCCGGCGCTCGCGCACAATCCTCTGGCGCGCGCGATTCTTGTTGTTCAAGGTGTCGCGGCCAACGGGGCTCCCCTCGCCAGCCAAGAGAGGAGGGAGGGGGCAGTCATTCATGAGCCACAAACGCACGTTGTGGCAATTCCCGTGCGAAGCAACATGGTCATCCTGATGATGAGGATGAAAAGGAGGTTGGGAGTATTGATGACGCGGAATTGGAGAGCGCATTCAAAAGCAAGCATTCCGTGCGTGCTGGAGGCAACTGCAAGGCTTAGGTCGGGCATGTCCCCTACATGACGAGTTTCGACGAACAATCAAACATACCCCCAACATAATCGAAAATACGCCAAAGTACTCAAAAAGGCGTGCCCGTACAATCTTTTTGACAATTCTTGAATATTCTTCTTGTAGAGGGACAGGCCCGATTTAATGCAAGGCCCATCTGTGGGTGAGAAGTAAAGGTCACATGGAGCAGGGGGTCAGGAGGGGTGGAGGAGGAAGACGACGACGAGGAAATTTCCCCCCCCCTCCTCCCCCAACGATCCAACGTCTTGATTTATTCCGTACGTGGTCCCCAGAAATCCCTCCCTCCTCAGAGTGTTGTTGTTCATCCCGCCCCGTTTTCTGACGGCGGTCCTCGGGCCCGGCGAAGGCCCCTGGAGGTCGAACACCGCAAAATTACCATTCTTGATTTTGGTTCAGACGTTGGACGTCTGACCCTCCCCTGGAGGCCTCACAGATAGGGTCCGAGCAGGTGGGGTCGAAGGACCGCGCACCATCGCCGACGCATCGGCGATGCATCCGCGACGTCGGCGATGCATCGGCGTCGTCGGCGTGGAGAGAATGGAGCCCCACGTCGAGCCGCATCGCCGATGCATCGGCGATGCGGCGCGACCCCCCGACCCCGTCTACCCCGACGCCACCTGGGGGGCCCGAGCGCACCCCGCCCCGCGCCACCGCAGACTTCTGGAGGAAGGACAGGATCTTGACGATGCGGAGGAGCCGCGCCAGCCGCGCCAGCCGCGTCACCCTCTGCAGCCGGGCCAGGCGGACCGCGCTGTTGGTGGTTCCCTGCGCAGGTGCGCCAGGCAAAGGAACCGAGAGAAGAGAAAGAGAGAGAGAGAGATAGAGATAGAGAGAGGGAGAGAGAGAGAGAGAGACAGAGAGACAGAGAGACAAAGAGAGACCGAGAGACACCCAGACCTCAAACGCATGGACCAAAACCAAAACGGAACATGTGAATCGTCTTCGTCGTCCGTGAGGGCCCTCGCCAGGTCCAAGGACCGTCAGGCGTTGTCCAGAGCGGAAAACCACCCCCTGGAAGTGGTTGTGGGCCCTGGGGATCGCGTGCGTATGGATCACACCAACATATCGGGGGTCTGGGGGTCTGGAGAGACGTTTTTTTTGTTGGCATCGACATGATAATGCCAGCCACCTAAACGGATCCAGACGAAAACCCATCGGATCCGATCTCCCCCGCCGCAAAAGAAACAGCCTCCGCAAGGAGACGGTCCCAGACCGCCTAAATCGCAGGCGTGTTCACAGAGGCGGTGGGGGAAAGGGGGGGGGGTCTGGAGAGAGGCAGGGATAGATATACAGCTATATACACATACCTATACGACCACCCTGCGGGCGATAAGGAGGTTGGGGGATTGGATTGGGTGGGATAAGATAAGATGGGACCAGATGGGTTGGATAAGATAAGATCGATTGGATACAAGATGGATTGGAAAGGAGGGATAGATATAATTACAGCTATACGTAGCACCCCGCAATTGCGGATAAGAGTGAGGGGGCGGGCGAGGGCGACGCGGGCGTCGTCGAGCCGGCGGACCTCGTGGCCCCCACCTTCCCTGTCGATGGCGCTCTCCTCCTCCTCATCCTCCTCCTCTTTCTCGTCCTCGTCCCCGTCCTCGTCCTCATCGTCATCGTCATCCTCCTCCTCCACCTCGTCCTCCTCCTCCTCCTCTTCTTCCTAGTCCTCCTTCTCCCCCCCTCGTCCTTCCATCATCGTCCTCACATTGTCGTCCTCCCCCTCATCGGCCTCCATCATCGTCCTCCCATTGTCGTCCATCGTCATCCTCCTCCCCCTCCTCCCCCTCCTCCCCCTCCTCGTCCTCCTCCTCCCCCTCCTCCCCCTCCTCCCCCTCCTCGTCCTCCTGCTCCTCCTCCTCATTCTCCACGTTCTCCTTACATCCTCTCTTCACCCGCGTCCTCCTCGTCCCCTGTTTACTCCTCCTGCCTCCCCCTCCTTTCCCAAGATAACGGCAACGCAATCCTTTTTTCCACTTTATGCTTCCCGACTTCTCTGATCAAGGCAACTCGCCAGGGCAAAGTTGCGGGACGGGCCGGTGTGGATGCGCGGCATGCAAAATCCGCCGCCGCGCTTGTGCCGCATTGGTTTGTTCAGCGAACGTGGTTTGGGTCGCGGGCTCTCCACCTCCACCTGGAAGGAATGCAAAAAATGCCCGCCGCAGGCGCCGAAAAATTGGGTTTGTACACTGAGCGTGCTTTGGGTCGCGGGTGGGCCGCGGGTTCTCCACCGGGAGCGAATGCAAAACATGCCCGCCGCAGGCGCCGAAACATTTGGTTTGTACCCTGAACGTGGTCGAGGGTGGACCGCTGGCTCTCCACCTGAAACGAATGCAAAAAATGCCCGCCACAGGCGCCGAAAAATGTGGTTTGTACCCTGAACGTGGTTTGGATCGCGGGTTGGTCGCGAGTTGGTCGCGGGCCCTCCACCTGGAAGGAATGCAGAAAAAAAACCGCCAGAAGCGCCGAAAAATGTGGTTTGTACCTTGAACGTGGTTTGGGTCGAAAATGGGTCGCGGGTGGATCGCGGGGTGGGTCGTGGGTGGGTCGCGGGTGGGTCGCGGATGGGTCGCGGGTGGGTCGCGGGCGGGTCGCGGGGTGGGCCGCGGGCGGGTCGCGGGGTGGGTCGCGGGGTGGGTCGCGGGTGGGTCGCGAGTGGGTCGCGGGTGGGTCGCGGGGTGGGTCGCGGGGTGGGTCGCGGGGCGGGTTGCGGGTGGGACGACGACAACAAACAAGAACAAACAACAAACAACAAGAATCCGCACCGCGGAATCCCACTTCAGCCACGCACCCAGGGACAGTGAATGACCGTTTGCCCCCTGATATATATATATATATATATATAGATATATACAGATTGTACATATGTGTGTATATATATATATATATGTGTAAAGACGTCGAGGGAGAGAGAGAAAGAGAGAGAGAGAGAGAACTGGTAGCGGCGCCGCGTTTGCCGCCTCAAGATATGATGAAAGCGCGGCTTCGTGTCTGCGCGGCAACAGGGGCTGGCCGTGCTGCGCGAGGCCATCCCAATGGATCGATGCACTCTGGCTGGACAGTCATCTGACCCCGTTCGCCCGCGTCGAACACCTTCTCGAAGTCCACCGCGCCAGCCCGCAGGTCCGCGCTGTTGTCTCTGGCTACATCGTGCAAGAACGCCCTGCGCATCGGGCGATCCACCGCGCTGCGTCCCAGGCGACATGCCGTCCGGTCGACGAACTGCTCCCGCATGGCATCGTTCCACAGTCTGCTGCGAACCAAACTAGCGAAAACTTGGCACGAAAAGGCGCCGACCGCAACGGGCCCATCCGTCGACGGATGCGAGGCGCCCCCCCCCTTCATGTAAAGAATTTCAACTGCGGCCGGCAACCCGTCTGCGGGGCGCACAGAAAACTAATTGAGAACGGTGGGTTGAAAGCGTCGAAGCTGACCCCGCGCGCGACCGAGGAGTTTAGCTGTGGAAAACTCTGCTCGCGCGCAGTGGCCATCTGCGCGAACGGGGCAGTCGCGCCGCCAGATTGCGCGCCATAAACGCGCCCCGCGCAACCCTGCCTGCCGCTCGCGCACTGGCTCGGCGACGGCGGCGAATGCTAACAACGCGCCACTGGGGTCCTCCATCGCAATTGCATGGTCGCGCTTGCGGTTCGGGCGCGTGCCCCCCAGGCCTCGCGCTCCTTCGACGTCGGCCAGGGTGACTCTACTGGGCGCGATCCCACCTCGCCTCCAACCCATCGAACTCTGCGCCCGCTTGCCCCAGTCTGCGCGGCTTTCATTGCCGGGAAAAGCAAGGGGGCTTAATTCTTGCGAACGACGAGGTCCGCTGCTGAGGGAATGGGCCCGCGCGTCTAGATCTGTCGCGTCGGTGTCAGAGCGGCGCCCCCCCAGCGTCATTACTGTCCTCATTTTCGACAGACGGCGCGCTTCCACTCAGCGCGCCGGTTCGCCAACGCAACTCAAGGCTCCGCCAATCGACGCGGCGAAGCCGCTTCTTCCGACAACGCGATAGTCGCCGATCCTTGGGAACAGCGATGAAAGCGCATTCTTTCCCGTCTGATGCCGACCAGGATCCGCCGGGCAACGTCCGATAATGGCGCGCGGGCCGACGCTCGGAACTTATCTCCGCGCCAGCGGAAACTGCTTGCTCAAGAAGCAATCAAATTGACGCGCGCGGCAGCCGACTCTGAAAATCCAAGCGCCCCCGTCTGCCGCGGCAAACGACGCGCTGGCAATGTCGAGGTCGCGAAGATCAGACCCACTCGCCGGCGTTGACCCCCTTTCGTTTCGACGCGGCGTGGCGGGGCGCTGGCAGTCGACCTCCTTCGCGTCGCGCTCTGTCTGCGGCCCCACTTCAGCGTCGAAGTCCCGGCGAAGATCGCGCGGCATCCTCTTGCGCGTGCTGCCGCGCGCTGGACTTCCACCTGGGGCGCCCTCTCCAGGTCGCTTCGCACGGGGCGCGCATGCAGCCACCACGCGCCATTTGCTTGGCGCCGCAGACGGTCACGCGCAGGTCCAGCGACGCCACTACGTCTGGCATTCACTGTGATCACGTGAGTCCCCAAGTCCGGCGCAGCAGAAACCCAGCCCCGCATGGGTGCGACGCCCCTCCGCTCCCAAACCAGAACGTTGCCCCCCTCGCGAGACCAAGCCTCGCCAGCCCCCCCCCCCCCTTTAAGTCTCTGCAAAAACAATGAAAGCCAAGTGCTGCCCCCGGTTCAGATGGGGAGCGGCGGGCTCTTCGATTAATTTGCATCAACGCACGAGCTGCGCTCTTAAAACTAGCACCGGCGCTCGAGATCTTCCCCGGGGTCTTTCTTCGACAGATTCGCGGCGCACCGCCGCCGATTCCTGCGCGGGGCGCCCCCGAGCCCCGACAGGCAGCCAGGGGGGCCCCATCGATCGATCTCGCCTCGAACTGGAACCTGGCCTGCATTCGGCCGCCCGCGTCGCGATGGACTTGGCCATTATCGCCGTCTGTCTCCCGCCTCCCCAAGCTGCGCCGGATTCGCGAAGATAGCGCCCCCCTGGCAAACGATCCTCGCCTTCTTCGGTGGGCCCCTCCCGTTCTGATTAAGAACCGACTGCGCTTTCCGAACGCGTTCTCTCTCTTGCGCTCTGCGGGCCCCTAGAAGCGGAAGGCCGCGACGCCTCGCTGCCGATCGCGCGCCTCTGTTTGCGAATCGATTTTCTTGGCCAGTTCGCAAATCAGCTCAGCGCTTATGAACCCCGCGAAATCCCCGCCCCCGACCCGGCAGGCGTCGGCCCCCCCGCGGCTACCAAGCACGGTCTCGATAAAACCCCACCATGAAGTCGTTCCCGGCAATTTTTTCCACGCGTCCATCTCGAAAACATCGATCGCGACAGAGCTCGCGAACTTCTCCTGCTCTCCGCTGCCTGCCCAGATGCTTTCGCCATCATGCCGACGAGAAGCTTCGCCGTCGCGCCTCCGCCTGCGTAATCATCTTCTTGCTCATATCGCCCAGCTGATCTTTGACGGCCTCAACGCGGGCCGTGGCCTCCTCTGCAAAAAAACAATCGCCTTGCTCGCTTGTTGCTTTGGCCGTGCTGACCTCGTCCTTAACCTCTGCGAGTGTCTCCTTTACTTCTGCGATCCTCTCCTCATCTCTTCAATAATCACCTGCGGGCCCGGCGCCGCGTTCGCAAGTTCTTTCAAGATCTTGCCCTGGTTCACCGCGCGTTCTAATGGTGGCTGTTATTCCTGGCCATCCTCATCCACGCCGATGACCTCGACATCCACA